GTGTGGGTGGGTGTGAGTGTGGGTGTGGGTTCCTTAGAAATAACACCCATATTTTATTTATTAAATGAAAATATATATTAAAAATTTACATTATGTTATATTTCTTTATTTGAAATTCATTTTGGGATTATATTTTTGAAATTTATATTTACTTTATGTTTTATGACTTAAAATTAAAATTTATTTTATATTTTCTATTCTTAAATTAGAATTCATTTTATATTTTATCTATTTTTTAATTGCATGTTCTTATGTAGATTTGCTAAAATAAAAATTCGCTTTATATTCCACTTTTAAAATGAAAATTTATTTTATACTCCATTTTTTATTTTAATATTTATTGTAAATTTAAATATCCTGAATTTAATAACACTTCGATATTAAATTTTTTAAAATCACAGTTTTTTCTGAATTTAAATTTCATAAAATCTTAATTAACTCTTTGGAGCCGAGATCTTTTTGAAAAAGTGAATTTTGTTTTTTTCTTTCAAAAAATGTCTGGAAAAAATTTTATTGTTATATAGAAGCATTTAGAAATGTTTCAGAGTATGATAATCTTCAAAACAACCTATCACACAAAGTCCAACGTCACACACATCACACTGATAACGTGAATCGGTACGCTTTTTTCCCGTCTGCTTGTATCACTACAAACTACACAATATCTCTGTGCGGTTTTTCTTGTTCCTATTGCTGGAAATAGAGATGAAAAATGACGTGCAGTGAGACGCATGGGCTTGTCTCCGATAGTCGGACGACCGATTGGACCTTTCAGCTGACCATATCTTTCAATCAGTTCCCGAATCAAATGAATTCGAAAATCGCCAAATCGAATAGTCTTGTTATGCTTCAGTTTGAATAGTATATAAGCGTTCAAAGTTGATAAATCCATCAGATGAAAGAAAAATTTCTTACGTTATTTGATGGTTTTTCGTAGACATTCTACAAAGCTGATCTGCATATCAGTTTTACCAACTGAGCCGATGTTTTCGTTGTAATAAACAATGTAGTCTGGTTTTTCAATTACTTTTTGAGTCTTTCAGTTACTTTTTCGTGTTCGAGTCATCCTTCATTTGTGAATTATAGACAACATAAAGACTTCTCGTTTGTCTTTCCGCTTCAAAGCCATCAGAGTGTTAGCGTTGTTATAGTCAAAATCGCGTTTTGTCAATTTACTGAATTTAACTAGACCAAGGCAGATTTTGCGCACAGTCCCACATACACCAGTTTTGAGTTCATGCAGTTTTTTAAATAGAAGAGGACTAGTATAGCAGCTATCGAGAAAAACTGATTGTTCCTTGTTCAAATACGGTTTCATCAAAGTCATAACTACGGAACCCGATTTTCTCAAATTTTGATCTACATTGATTTCCGTAGAAGAACCAGTATATACAATGAAATCCAACACCACTTCTGTGTGACAGTCACAGATAACAAATACTTTTATGCCAAATCGATGATGTTTAGTTGATCTATACTGTTTGAAGGCTAGATGGTCCTTCCAAAGAACCAAACTTTCGTCTATACATAAGTTTTTATACGGAATAATAAGCAATCTGAATTTCTTTCTCAGTTCATTTATTACTGGTTTGATTTTATGCAATCTGTCACCGTTCACTTGGTTTGAGTTATCGTTGAAATGCAAGTATTTTAAGAGCATAAGAAATCTGTCTCTGAAAAATAGTTGTCCGAAAATAGGTGTGGCAATCATTGGATCGGTTGACCAATACTCATGAATCTTATTCTTTTTAGTTACAGACATCAGCATAATTGTAGCTAGATAGGTGTACATTTCAGCACGATTTGTAGGTGTACACTTTGCTTGATGCGAAGCTATATTATGTGTCGCATTGTTGATAGAAAACTCTGGATATTTGTTCGTTTCTTCGACAATTGAATCCATCATTTTTTCATCAAGCAATAATTCGAAAAAATCAAGAGGATTATCACCTTCCATAGGGCGTATGTTTCATGAAACACCAGAGTTTTGTTCGTCGAAATGAAAAAGACGAGGCTCGAAAGTAGTTTTGCTCCAGTTGCGATTAACAGACTTTTCTGTTGGTGCTGATGATTCATCGTCTAATTCATTACTATCTACGTCTGATGAATAAACTTCGTCAATTTTCATTTCAAAAATATCTTCAGAATCGCTATCCATCGGAATTTCTTATAGATCATCACTAGTATTCATTGCCATATTCAGCAAAAAATTTTATGGATAGATATGAATGATAAATTGTTTATGTAGCAAGACACGTAAGGATAATGAGAATTTTATTTGATCTTGTGAGAATATATACTAAAAGATATATGTCGCTTCTCGTTTAGAATCGACAGTTTTATTTATACGAGAAAATATGTAGAAGGAAAGAAGAAAGAGAGTGCACAGAATATAGGATGGGGAGTGGGTGGGTGGATGTGGCTCTGGCTAAAGAAGATATGAACACCCACCCACACCCACAAATAGATGAATGGAAAGAACAATAGATTAATAAAACTCATCAAACAGCTGATTAAATTAGAAAATAAGTACAAATTGTTTTTTCTAAACATATGAAAAATTTATCAACATCGTTAACAAAAAGGAGTGTCCAACGACTGAGGAATAGGAACTTTTTCTCATTTTCTCCATAGTTCCATGATTGTCAAAATCAAAAAAACACAATATCGGCAATATCTTTTGCTTTCACATACGTATTAGGGTCAAAATGTATAAAGATCAATGTGTGGTTGGGAAAACTATTGCAGATTATGCATCACTTTGGGAATTTAAAATGATGGAACTGTGAAAGAATTAAAGGTCAATTCTCGATCCCCAGAGGAATCATCATAGCTCTGTTGATAGCTCCTCGACAGTTTAGGAATTCCTATTTCTCATTTCTGAACATTGCTGGAGGACTTTGAACTCGGCCTTCGTTGCATAGAATATGACTCAGTATGCAAAATTGAATTGAATTAGCAGCTTACGAAAAACGATTATTGATAGTGACTGTATTTATGTATCATTTATTATTTACGCAGACATGAAAAGCAAAGAAATACTATTACAAAAAATAAAATATATTCAAGCGGAAATAAACATTAATAATCAGTGCTTTTTTTTCTTTGACAATCAACGAATAACTCTAAAAGAAAATATAAGATAAGATTTCGATAATAATAATGTTGTTCTAATACGTTGCAACACTTTCTCAAAACAAATTAAATCTCTTTTCTTCACTTACTTTTATGAATTGAAATTAAAATGTGTTTGTATCATCATTCGATATTTCTTGATTGTCTTCCAGAATTCTTTTCTGTAAGGTTTTGATGGTAACACAAAAACAACAAAAGTAAGCATAGGTGGAATGAATGATATAAAGTATCCAGCAAGAAAAAGCCATGAATCATTAACTGAATTCATACAACCTGAAATGAGAGAAAAAATTAAACGTGGTATAGCAAGAATGACCAAGACAATTGGAGCAATCAGGATACGACTGTGTTGTAGAATCTGTTGTTGTAAGATATTTTGATAACTTTGTTGAATATGAACAGTGCTTCGTAGATGAGCAGTTGTTTTAATAATAATCATTGATGAAATCAAATTGATAATAAATGGAGAAAAAAAGTGAAATATATTTATGATTGAATTGTAGACTTGTACATTGGATGAATAAGTAACAATACACCAAATTCGTTTCTCTCCACTATCATTATTATCATCAATTAAACGTCGATGAAATGGATCATGAAGAGCTGTGCTAATTGTCAATAAGAGAATGCCTAGAATGATGTATTTGGCCATTTTTTTGCTTTTCTTCTTGTTAAAATAAATTCCGTTCTTCGTGGTGATTACTCTTTCAACGGCAACACATGCATTCAACCATTGATCCATATTAAGACCAATGCGTAGAAGAAAATCAATTGAAATACATTGAAAATGTAGAAATGATCGATTCATGTTGTACGATATTTGTGCAACAATCAGTATCCAGAATTTCAGTGCAAACATAGTCATAGTAAATAGAGTCGTGATTGATGATCCCAATAGATAAAAGCCACAACCTATATGTCGGGATTCTTTGTTCTTAAACGTAATTACCGATAGAATACCATTGATAAGTCCTGTTATAGTCATAATCATAGTTAGTACCATGCTCATTTGTACTATAGGTGGTTGTTGTATAATATTGATATGTGGTAAAATACGATAACCTAAAATGCCATCGAGTGAAAGACCAAATCCACTTGAACTAAATTGACATCGTGTTCCATA